GCGTGGGAGACGCGGAAGAAGCTCCTGGCTTTGGTTTGGCCCAGCTCTGGCCATTTGGAACCAATGGGTGTTAGATCTTTCTGTCTCTCCCTTTCTCTGTAACTCTGTAACTCTCAAATAAATAAAATCTTTAAAAAGAAACCTCATTTAAAGAATTGGTGTCCCATTTTTAACTCAATATAAAGCCCAAATTACTTAGTTATTTCTCACTGTACTTAGACACTGTTAATACAAAGATGAATAAACTTGAACCTTGTTAGTGCTTGGACTGGTAGACCCAACTCAAATGTCACTTCTACTTCTTAATAATAGTTTCATTTGGAGAAGAAGGCAGTAGGAGGGGAGTTCAAAAAGTTCATGGAAAATAGAATGAAAACTTATTTTTATTTTGGTGCAAAAAATTTTTGCCACCATGCAGTTTTTTTCATAATGTACATTTTGCTTGAACTTTTGGAAGACCCTTATATGTATGGATTTCAAATGTTTTTTTTTTTACACCAAAAAAAATCTTGTAATTCTGATGTGTCCTCCAGCCATTGTGGCCTGCTCTCTTACCAGTTTCAGTGATGTGCAGTATCAGAACAGTGGAAGAGTACAAGGGTGAGCGAACTGCAGCCAGCCACCTATTTTTGTGGGGTTCATGAGCTAATGTTTTTATATTTTAAAATAGTTGAAAAAGAATCAGAGTAATATCTAATGATGTGAAAATCATATGGAATTCAAGCTTCAGAGTTCACTAGAGCCCAGCCGAATCCATTCATTTACCTTTTGCCCGTGGCAAAGGTGTTTGTTCTAAACTAGTAGATTTCAGTAGTTGCCACCAAGGCCATCTGACCTGCAAGCCAGAATATTTACTATCTTGCCCTTTACTAAACAGTTTGCTGACCCTGAGTAGAGTACATGCTATGATGGAAAGAATAAACCTAAAATTGTGAGAAATGAAGCACAAACACAAAGGTGGTGTCAGAATCGTCACTGGTATGGAGGGACGACTGTGGAAACTGAGCTCTGGTTCCTCAGAATGGCTGGGGAGTGTGGTGGCAGACAAAGTATAGGGCAGAGGCCTCTGAAATTTAGAGATGGCCGTTCTGTACCAGAGTTCTGCAGTTTGCAGGCTACCCATGTGTGTGAATCCAGTTCTCTGTTTGCTGAATCACTTGTCTCCATCTGGTCTTCAGAAATCCACTTTCAGGCTAGATATTCAGTAGTACTTACTGCATAGCATTGTACCAGTTTGGGTTTTAGGTGTGGCACAGTAAACACTTGTGTGTTTGATGTGGGAGCACTGTGAGGGCCATTCCACTGAGTCATTTCTGATTTCCCAGAAGCATTGCCATCAGTTATACATTGAGGTTCTACTTCAGATCAGCATTTTACAAATTAAACTTTCACTTCTTTTGAAACATCTGACATAGAGATAAAAAAAAATGAAGTTATCAGTGATTTTTTTTTTCTTTTTAAATGAGTCCAAAGGTCATTAGGAATCTTTTAGAACTTGGAGATGTTAACCTTATGTTGTGGGATAAAATGAGATTTTAGTCTATGATAAAGATCACTTAATCTCTCCAGTATCTGTCAGAGTCTTTCATATTTCTATTAACAGAAGCAGCACTTTGAGCTAAATAATCGTGTTGGGTAAACTGTTACCAAATTGAAGAGCCATAGACATATGCCTAAGGATTTGCCATTTTTATTACTAATGATAATGAATACAAAGAGCATGAAAATCATAATTGTGGTTACTATTGCTGGAAAGAAGAACTGGTATTGTAGATTGGATTAGTAGTCTAAAATAGTGGCCCGAGAACTGGGAGGTAGAATTTTTTTTTTTTTTTGGGGGGGGGGAGGTAAAATAGCAAGGTTTATTAGGGAAGGGACATCCGTAAGGATGGATGGGCACCTCTCCAGACAGAGCCTGAGAGACTGGGGGATGGGAGGGGGGAAGAAGGAGAGAGGTTACATGGTTGAGTGCAGAGATTACACCTGGCCAGACCAGGCGGGCAACTCAGCAGAGGCAGAGGGCTGAGTGCGCAGTCCGGTTGAAGCTGGGGGTTTTTAAGGAGATGGGTCTTGCTTCTCCACCTCTGCTCCTCTTGGAACAAAGGGCTTTTTGGATGTAAATAGAAAAACTTCTCTCTTGAAGGAAGGTAGAATTTTTTTTAAAAAGAATTTATTTACTTGAAAGTCAGAGTTATAAAGGCAGAGAAAGAAGTCTTCCATCTACTGGGTCACTCCTCAAACAGCTGGCAATGGCCAGAGCTGACCTGATCCAAAGCCAGGAGCCAGGAGCTTCTTCCTGGTCTACCACGTGAGTGCAGGGGCCCAAAGAGTTAGGCTGTCTTCCACTGCTTTTCCCAGAGAGCTGGATTGGAAGTGGAGCAGCTGGGATTTGAACTGTTACCCCTGTGGGATGCCAGCATTGCAGGTTAGTGGCTTTACCTGCTTTGCCGGTCCCAGAAGTTAGAATTTAACAGAAGAAATTAAAGCTTTGTGTTATGTTCTAGAGTGCATTTTAAAAATACTTATGAGGGCTGGCGCAGCAGCTCACTTGGCTAATCCTCTGCCTGTGGCGCCGGCACCCTGGGTTCTAGCCCCGGTTGGGGCACCGGATTCTGTCCCGGTTGCTCCTCTTCCAGTCCAGCTCTCTGCTGTGGCTCGGGAAGGCAGTGGAGGATGGCCCCAGTGCTTGGGCCCTGCACCCGCATGGGAGACCAGGAGGAGGAAGCACCTGGCTCCTGGCTTCGGATCAGTGCAGCATGCCGGCCATAGCAGCCCTTTGTGGGGGTGAACCAACGGAAGGAAGACCTTTCTCTCTCTCTCTCTCTCTCTCACTATCTAATTCTGCCTGTCAAAATAAAAATACTTATGAGGATATTGGTTTGATAACAGTTCAAGGGGAAACAAATCTGGGTAATTTATTTACCAGCCAAATTTGAAATATGTAAGGCCCATTAACTATTGTTTTTTAAACAAGCATTCTTAGGTTGTATCATTTAAGAACAATAAAATAATAATCACATACCACTTTCTAAGTGGAATATAGTTCCTTCCAATTTGGTTGGCATATTATGGATAAACCATAGTAGTGAGAGGGTCAAAAAATCCTGTGGGGAAGAGAAAAGAGGGAATGGCAGTTAGCAGCTCATGTGCTGTGTTCGTAGCTGATGGATGGTTCTGTGAAAAGCAGTGGAGTATCTTCTGTATTGCTCAGCAGAGGCTCTGTAGCCCTTGAGATGCAGTCAGCCTTAGGCTTATAGTAAAAGTCTTAAGAAAATACTATGTGGAGGCAGACACTTAGCCAGTTAAGATGCGCATGTGCTACACTGGTGTGCTTGTGTGCCATAGGCAGCTCTGGCTCCTGACTTGACATGTATTATATACATACTGTTGCCCCTTCAAATCCATAGGTTCTGCATCTGGATTCAACCGATGGGAGATTGAAAGCAATAAAAATTGTATTTGTACTGAATGGATGCAACATTTCTTTCTTTTTGTTATTCTCTGAGCAGATATCCTATAGCAACTAATTTGCTTAGCATTATACATTGTGTTAGGCATTGAGAGATGATTTAAAATATAAAGGAGGATGGCATAGATTATATGCAGATACCGTGGGACTTGAGCATCTACAGATCCTGGAACCCACAGAGGGTCCTGGATCCAATGCCCCTACCATCTCTACCCACCACCACCTCCCCCCTACACACACAACACACATAAATATGGAGAGACTGTACTTTAATTTTCACAACAACTTGTGAAGTACATGCTATTTATGTCCCATTGTAAAGATAAGAAAAATGAAACTTAAGAATATTAAATAAATAAATTGCCTAAGGTTATGTGTCAACTCTCAGTTGAGAGATTCAAGCCCACTTCTGTGTATTCCAGAGATCATACCTGTGATCCATATGCTTTAGTGATTTTAGTATTAGACTTGTTTATTAGTTTAATGATAAATAATAGTGTGTCAAGACAATGCTTGTCTTATTTTAGGAAAATGAAATTTTCAGCTGATGCTGTAGTTATAATGATATATGAATGAGATTCTTTTAGAAGGTGATAATGTCCTTTAGTGTCAGTGACCATGAAATTCATTATATTAGGAAAGCTTGTGACCAGTTCCTATCAAAAAGTCAAACAGCTTTTATAAAATTTATTTATTTGAGAGGCAGGGAGACATGGAAAGAGAGTTCCTATCTACTAGTTGACTCCCCAAGTGCCCACAATAGCTGCCATTAGGCTGTGGTTCAACTCAAGAGCAGGGAGCTCAATGCAGGTTTTCTACATGAGTGGCAGAGACCCAATTACTTGCACCAACCATCTCTGCTGCCTGCCAGGATTTTTATTAACAGGCAGCCACAGTCAGGATTCAAAACCAGGTATCAAGCCCAGGTATTACATGAGTATCTTAACCCTGTACACTCGTTCCCTCAAATGTTTTTTTTTTTTAAGTTTTAAGTCATTTTATGTGTGAATGTGCAAAAAAAAATTAACTCTGTATAATTGTGCAGAATATATTGACTTTAATATTGATTTCATCCATTTCGTGTTACTATAACAGTATACCGCAAACTGGGGAGTTTTTAATGAACACAGTTTATTTGGTTCATGGTTCTGGAGGCTGGAATTCTACAGTCAAGGAGCCATATATGGCAAGGACCTTCTTGCTGCATCAACTCATGGAGGAAAGCAAAAGGACACTCCTGTGATGACAACATTAATCCACTCATAGGCATTAAGTGTGTAATACATGAACCTTGGAAGGCGCATTCAAACCAAAGCAGTTTAATTCTCTAGTTAGAAAAATGAATTTTGCTGATGTTAAAATTAATTTATTTGCTAAATCTATAGTTACAGCCTATATAAAGTCCTACTTTTGTGATTGAATTATCTGAATTTTATTTCCTATCAGTGTGTATTTAGAAATTGTTATTACAATTTGCCATGTTGGGAAGGCTGTCAGCACTAAACAGCGGGTGTTTTTGTTTCATTCTTAGGGGAAAATTTGCAGTGGTGAGGAAATGCATACAGAAAGATTCTGGAAAGGAATTTGCAGCTAAGTTCATGAGAAAAAGAAGAAAAGGCCAAGATTGTCGGATGGAAATAATTCATGAAATTGCCGTCCTTGAATTGGCGCAGGATAATCCTTGGGTCATTAATCTACATGAAGTTTATGAGACTTCATCAGAAATGATCTTAGTTCTGGAATAGTAAGTATTGCTTGCCTTTGGTTGGATTTGTTCAGTAGTCTGCACTTCACGGGATGCCACTCTTCCGTGATAACGTTGCAGGCCCCTGGTTCTCTGGAAATCTGAGGAGTTCCAAGATCATCTTCATATGTTCCTGTTACTAATTTGACATGTTCTGAATTTGCAAGAAAATACATGTGTAAGCTTTTTAAATTTTCATTCTTTAAAATTCTTTTGATAATATAGTAAAGTTCTCATATGTTTGTATTTGGAAGAATTCCTAGGAAGGTAAGTGATAACCATAATCATACTAAAATAAGAAATATTTTATAATCCCTTATTCATTTTTATATCTGCATTCTAGGCACACATCTCTCCCTGTGCTCCCCAACTCCAGGGCTTAAACATGTCATTCCCTTGTCGTCTTCCTTGAATTGTCACCAACCTGTGACATTATCTTGTTTTACCTTCAAATGTGCCTTTTAAAATATTTTTCTCTTCATCATTGCTTTTAGCAATTTGAGCATGATGTGCCTTGGTTTTATTTGTTTGTCTTGCTTGGGATTCACTGAGCTACTTTGATTTTGGTTTTACAGTTTTTATCTGATTTGGAAAGTTTTTAGCCATTTTGTTTTCTACTTATCGTTCGTTCCTTCCTTCCTTCAGTTATAGTCTCTAGCTGCTTGGCATTGAGCTGGCTCAGCTCATACTGGTTTTGCTTCATCGAGTCCATATTAACATATAGCACCACCAGGCTGTAACTAAGTTACTGGATAGTTTTGCTGTGAGTGTTCACTATTTCCCTTTTTATGAGTTATGTGTTGCTTTAATTCTGCCCTTTTCTAGTGCTGCTGGAGGTGAAATCTTTGACCAGTGTGTTGCAGATAGAGATGAAGCCTTTAATGAAAAAGATGTTCAAAGACTCATGAGGCAGATTTTAGAAGGTGTCCACTTTCTGCACACTCATGATGTGGTTCATCTTGATTTGAAGGTAAGATCTGAATTCCTTTATAATTTTGAGATTGCTAAAGATATTCCAGATGTAAAATATTTAGCAATTATTTATTCAATCATTTATGAACAAGGATATTAGAACCGAGTGTTGACCCTTCTTCTCTAGCCAGTTCATTTTCACAGGGAGATAATGTGCATTCGTACATTTAGAAAGATAAATAATACGATGCCAGAAACATTGAAGTCACAGAATACTGCTAGGTAGGCAAAGGCTTCTTAGTAGAGTTAATACTTAAACTAAACCTTTTAAAAATGTTATTTAAATAAGTAGAGAAGAATAAGAGAAGATTGTCTCACAAAAGTTAGGAACATGTGATTTTCTAGGGGAAAAAATGGAGTAGTTTCCCTGGAATTGAGACATCAAATAGGAAAGATTAAAACAGAAAATGACAGGTCCTGTGTGCTTCCGGTAATTCCACAGGTTTCAGTATTTATATTTGAGTAGTAATTTGAAGTTTTTGGAAAATTAGCAATAAGTAAGTGAAAAAAACATATTAGAGGTAGATGGATGTCTAATTTAAAATCTTCAAGGTAGCCGGCGCCGTGGCTCACTAGGCTAATCCTCCGCCTTGCAGCGCCGGCACACCAGGTTCTAGTCCTGGCCGGGGCGCTGGATTCTGTCCCAGTTGCCCCTCTTCCAGGCCAGCTCTCTGCTGTGGCCCGGGAGTACAGTGGAGGATGGCCCAAGTCCTTGGGCCCTGCACCCCATGGGAGACCAGGAGAAGCACCTGGCTCCTGCCATCGGATCAGCGCAGTACACCGGCCGCGGCGGCCATTGGAGGGTGAACCAACGGCAAAGGAAGACCTTTCTCTCTGTCTCTCTCTCTCACTGTCCACTCTGCCTGTCTAAAAATAAAAATAAAAATAAAAATCTTCAAGGAAAGAAGGAATGGGAAGAGGCAGGAAAGAAAAACAATGGACAATGTATCAGTTGTGGTCCTTTCAAGCGATCAGAATACCAACTGAAGATGGGGTAAGCAAAAAAGGAAATTTTATTGACTAAGCTGAAAAGTCCAGGGAAAAATTCTAGCTTCAGTTGTGATAATACTCAGGGCTCAAAATGTAGCTAGGACTTGGTTTTCCTCCAGTACTCAGCTCTGCTGTCTCAGAACAGCGAGAAGATGCTGGTAAGATAGACGGTGCCATTTTAGCCTCACAGCTGCCCAGGGCCACAGCAGGAAGGGGCTGGTCTTCTGTGTACAGCTCTGTGAATTCCCAAGAGTCACTCTGGTTAGACAGGCGTGGATCTGCCTACAACCAGGAACTATGTTAGACGTATATAAGTCTCTGGCCTGGCCAGTGTTGTGCTCCAAGCCTGGAGAGGTAAACTCTTGCCCTGCCTCAACTTTGGACTGAGAGGAGTAAGGGACAAACTCTCAAAACTAGTTCTCTTTCTGAAAGAATCTGAATAGGTGCTCATGAAACAAACTGTAAATGTCCATTCTAAGTATTCTTGATATATTGCTTCAGGTGACTGGTAGAAAAGTTACTGTTGACATCCAAATCCTAGTATAGCTGTGGGAAAATGAAACAGTCCTCAAACACAAAACAGGGCACACTGGCTTTGGTTCCTAATGTTTATTCCACTTAAAAAATGATAGCCTTATGACAGAGGAAACAAGAGTTAGGAAGGAAGGCAACTGAGAACCCCCCAAAAAAGGCTTTGCTACCCTGACCTGCACCCTCATCTCTCTGCACACCTCTGACTTCCCTTGATCTCTGCTGCACTGTGCCCTCTGGCAGAAAGTAGGTGCTTTATGGCAGTGGTTCTCACTCTGACAGGCATCAGCATCGCTGGGAAGGGCTTGTTAAAACAAATTGCTAGGCCATAACCCTAGAATTTGGGATTCAGGGCAGAGCCAGGTGATGCTGTACTTCAGGTCCAGGAGCCACTTTAACTACTGATGGCACATTCCATGACACCTTATATATACATCATACTTCAGAAATAACAGTACTTAATTTTTATTACATGAGGGAACACTCTCAAGGAAGACTAGACAGTTTGTATAATCTGGTGGTTGACTTCTAAAGCAGTCACGATGATGTCCTAGTTGGAATCAAGTGGGAAGGTAATACAGATGCTTTAAATACTGACATTGAGAGAAGAACACAGGAGAGAAGACAGCCTGGAAGCTTTCTTGTTCTTTTCTCCAAGAGGCCAATTTAAATTCATTCCTGAAAAACAATTGCCTTTTCTCAAAGATTTATTTCTGTATACTGTAGCTAAAGTGCACGGTCATGATATGTGATTTAAGTGGTGGTTTTTGCCTTTTTTTTTTAACTTTTATTTAATAAATATAAATTTCCAAAGTACGACTTATGGATTACAATGGCTTCCCCCCCATACCGTCCCTCCCACCCACAACCCTCCCCTTTCCCACTCCCTCTCCCCTTCCATTCACATCAAGATTCATTTTCGATTATCTTAATATACAGAAGATCAGCTTAGTATACATTAAGTAAGGATTTCAACAGTTTGCTCCCACACAGAAACATAAAGTGAAAAATAATAGATGATTTTTTTTAAAATGATGATGAAATCAGAGCAGACCTATTGTCATGTTTAATCCCAGTGAGAGTCAAGTTGGGAATTGATTTTTTTTTTTTTTTTTCCTTTTTTTACAGAGGATCAGTTTAGTATGCATTAAGTAAAGATTTCAACAGTTTGCACCCCCATAGAAACACAAAGTGAAATATATTGTTTGAGTACTCATTATAGCATTAAATCTCAATGCACAGCACATTAAGGACAGAGATCCTACATGAGGAGTAAGTGCACAGTGACTCCTGTTGTTGACTTTACCAATTGACACTCCTGTCTATGGCATCAGTAATCTCCCTATGCTCCAGTCATGAGTTTCCAAGGCTATGAAGCCCTCTGAGTTCTCCGACTCTTATCTTGTTTAAGGCAAGTATAGTTCCGGGATGCTAATGCTGGAGTGGCCTGATGCCAGTGCTGGCGGTCACCTGTTTAAAATCCTTCATAGCACGGGCAGGCAAACTTTGCTGTACTTTTTTCCTTTAGTCGTATGCATAAGCAGTTCAAAGATGCTTGCTGAAAGAAATTTTTACCCATGCTTCCTTCAGGAACAACAGACCAGGATTAGATGACTTCAGCAGTCCAGACTTCAGGGGACTCACATTAAGAAGTCTCCTAGTATTAACCATGCAGGAGAACTTCAGAGAACTTCCAGAAGACATGATTATGCTATGGCTTTTTTCATATTTAGTTTTATGTTTTTAATTTTGTAAAATCATTTATTTATTGTTATTTTATGATGCTTTATTAGTTTTATGATGTAGTCAGGACTTCTAGGAACAGATCTCCAGTTTAAATGATACTGTACTTATAGGAAATGAGCTTTCAATTTATGACAACACAACCTATGACCATTATTCATGAACTAATTAAGTAGCAAGTCAGACAGGTTGCCAACACCATGTGTTATGGATGTTTGATGTTACTTGAAAGCAGTCAAAAGTGAATATTAAGTTCTTGAATACCAGGTTCAACTGTGTATTTACACAAGGAAATTATATCCCTTTCTCCTCCAGACCTTCAGTATAAATCATATTCCTTTCTCAACAAAATACTGTATAGAATTCTTCACAGATTTAATAGAGGCCTTGATGATGATGATAGGCCATTCATGCTGGAAACTGGGCTCTCCCTGTTTCCCAGACCCAGAGGAAGCAGAAGACAGGGGGCCCAGTGTTCCCAGCCTTCCTTCTACCCTTGCACTCCTCACGTGTACAGTGAGACATGTCTCTAAGTGAACTGCTGAGAGAGGATGGAGATGGGGTTGGCTGGCAGCAGTGCAGGTGGAGGTGGTTTCTACCAAAAGATCACTTCAGGCTGACCTCTTTGTGTCTGGACAAACACATTCAGTGCCTAAATCTTTAAGAGCCATGTGTCCAGTAAGACTTCATGCTTATAATGCTGACTCTCAGTCTCCAAAAGAGCTTGAAAGGCTAAGCTATTAAAAAACACTATTTTCTCATACTCCCTCAAAGTTAAGTATATTTACTTGTATTTAATTCTGTAAAAATTGATAATCCACATGTATACATATATAAAATATATACATAAAATACATACACATATATATGTGTATATATGGTATCTTTGACTTGGCAGGCTACTTATTCTCCTTTCTGGTTAAGAAATTCCTATTTCAAACAGAAGTTAGTTCTAACACTATTAGAGCTAGACAGTAAGAGTTGCCTCTATAAAAGTGATAATTAATATTATGGGAAATATACATTTGGCTTCAGTGCAGACCCCAAATGACCAGTTTGTCAAAACACTGAATCACTCTAGACTCTTAGCCAAATACCTCAAATTGAGCATATGAAATTCTCTAAGAAGCAGCAGATGCAGATTTATGAGTCCTTAAAAGTATAAATCCTTAAGTGTACAAAAATAGAAAAGACAAACTATGATTAAAGGAAAGCCCATTTGTTTAAAATATTAAAATTTTAACAGGACTGACAATTCTGAGAAAACAACTCTAGCAAAGTCAGAAAAAAACTAGTCTCAAAATAGTCTCAGTAATTTGGTGACTTAGACATCTGGCACAGTGGCCTGCTTTTTATTTAGGGGGAAGACGGATGAAGAATAGTGCAAAAATAGTCTTAAAATCTGGTGTGCTTTGTTTCCAAATAACCTTTCAGCAGTGGTAGTATGAGGTATTATCATTAACCTGTCCACTCTGTTATATGCATGATTAAATGTGGACTAGAAGCTGGGATTTTCCCATTTGAGATTTGAATTGAGTCACTGATTCTAGTTTAAGTATCAGTGTATTACTTGAATGAAAGGAATAACATAAAAACATTACTAAACAGTCCCCCAAATGAATTTAAACAGGATTACTAACCTATTTTTGTACTCTAACCTGGGTTTTAATAAGTAAAAAATTTACCAGAACTTTCATTGTCTGATAAAATTTTTCTTAAAACCTCATCCATGGTATCTTAAGCCTTATTAAGCAGCTTAAACTCAACTTTACAGTGATCGTAGTCACTAAGTCAGTGGCAGTTGTTCAGCAAATCTGAAGCAGATTTTCCACAGAGATGAAGAATCTGAGATAAATAAAAAGGTTCCCCATAAAGCAAGAAAATAAAAGTTTTAGGAAGATTCTCTACAGACACTATCTGAGACCTGTCTGCATGTTTCCTGTAATTACTTCTCCATTGACTGACTGCTTTCTCTCCTTACTGCCCGGCATTCATCTAGTTTAAACAGAGTTGATATTGTATGCTCTAACCTGTTTAGCATGAACTGGGTTCCCTAGAAAGGGTTTAACTAAATTATAATGCTAAGGTACTTATCTCTATTTTTAGCACATATTCATATATTTTAGCCCATTGAAAGTAGTCATTTTTACCCATCAAAGAATTGACAGATTCTAGCTATGCAATTTTATTTTTTTTCAAATTAAGAGTTTATTTATTAAAATTAACAAATGGCAAAAAGTATATATGTTATATACCATGATTTTTTTTTATTTAGTAAATATAAATTTCCAAAGTACATTTTATGGATTACAATGGCTTCCCCCCCCCATAATTTCCCTCCCATCTCCCACTCCCTCTCCCATTCCATTCACATCAAGATTCATTTTCAATTATCTTTATATACAGAATATCGATTTAGTTTTATATGTTAAGTGAAGATTTCATCAGTTTGCACCCACACAGAAACACAAAGTGTAAAATACTGTTTCAGTACTAGTTATAGTATTACTTCACATTGGACAACACATTAAGGACAGATCCCACACGAGAAGTATTGAATATTGCTATAGTCTGCTCACTACCACCCTAGGTCTTCTCATTAAGTTGACAAGATACTAGGATGAGAAAACAAGTGTCCTTGGTGGAGAGAATACCATCTTCAGAGACACTCTTGTGGGAAGAATCATGACAAGTGTGTGGGACTGCAAAATGTACAGTGAGACTGTTTCACTGACTGTGGAGGGCTAGGTGGGAGCTAGACCTGGCAGGGTTTTGTCTCCACATCCAGCACTGTGGAGAGTATCTGAGAGCAGTGGGAAGCTATTGAAGGGTTAATTTAAGAGGATCAGATCAGATATATATTGATATACAAGCGATTCTTGTGCCTGCAAAGTGGCCAAACAGAACCTAGCAGACTGTTTAGCATAAGGCAGAAAAGGAAGAAAGGAAAGCAAGCTTAATTTTCTATAGTTGGATAACAGACAGCATTTAGAAGTGTTTAGGATTACCAGAATATACTGACATGGAGGAGGAAAAGGGGAGAGAGGATGACCAAGATGATTCTTAAGAGAGTTCTCCTATCCTGATGGATGATGGTAGCATTCACTTAGATACCACTCATTGGCAGGAGAATCTGACCTATAGGAGGGAAAATGTGAGACTGGTTTTGCTCTTGTGAATGTTAGGTTTCTTTGAGACATCAAAGGGGAGCTATTAAGTAAATAGGTAGTTGAAGAGGTCTGAAAGAGATAAAATTTGGTGAGTCATAGGTATAGGTGGTATTTAAGCCTTGAGTTAAGATAGATAGTGCAAGGTGAGAGTGTAGAGTGAGAAAAGGACCTCAAGATTAAGCTGTGACAAACCCAACATTGAGTGGGAGAGTGAGAGATAAACAGCTCGAGAGACAGGAGGAAAGCCAGGTCAGTGTCTTCTCGTGGGAGCCAGAAGAAGCGTATGTCAACAAGGGATGGCCAGCAGTGTCAGAACCTAGTAAGATAATTGTTCAGACTTGCTATAGTGGAATGAGAGGACAGAAATCAGATGTAGTAGTTGAAGAGTGCAGGGAGAGGAAATATGCACATGCATTTACTCATCAACGGAACTACCCCATGATGAAGGAAACAGCAAAGTAGACGAGTTAACAGACAATGGATGGCCAGCACTGTGGCTCACTAGGCTAATCCTCCGCCTGTGGCACTGGTACTCCACATTCTAGTCCTGGTTGGGGCGCCGTTTCTGTCCCAGTTGCTCCTCTTCCAGCCCAGCTCTCTGCTGTGGCCTGGCAGTTCAGTGGAGGATGGCCCAAGTGCTTGGGCCCTGCACCCGCATGGGAGACCAGGAGAAGCACCTGGCTCCTGGCTTCGGATCGGTGCAGCACACTGGCCGTAGCAGCCATTTTGGGGGTGAACCAATGGAAGGAAGACCTTTCTCTCTGTCTCTAACTCTACCTGTCAAAAAAAAAAAAAAAAAAAAAGAAAAGAAAATACAGACAATGGAATTAGTTTGCTGTGTACAAGATGTTAGAGAACCGAGAGGGGACAGCCATCTTACCCTCCCTGGGGGACGGAGAAGTCAGGTAGGGCTTTTTGTATTTTGCTGAGACTCACCATGCATGGAGTGATGAAAATAAATTTGTCAGAGGAAAGGGAGAGGGCTTCCTAAACAGATACATAAGCAAAAGCATGAGATGTGAGAGTATGTGTCTTACTTAGGGGATTACAGACTGATTTGCAATGCAGGTTGCTTACTGAATTGTGACAGGAGGTTCATCTTGAAAAGGAGGCAGTGATCAGATTCTGACATACTCTGGGTGCTGTAGTAAGGTATTCATTATCAGTACCAATGCTTCTCAGTTTACGTTTGGAGATATTCCTAGTGCAAGAAGACAGGACAGACGCCTTCTGAAGCAAACGCAGACTTTCCTTTCAAATCTGATATTTGAAAAATTCTAATGAATTTCACATTCTAGTTCATAACTGTCTTAAGAGACAGTGTCTAGGTTGTTTTTTTTAGATTTATTTGAAAAGCAGAGAGGCAGAGTGAGAGAGAAAGATTTGGTCTTCCATCTGCTGGTTCACTCCCCAAATATAGCTGCAACAGCTAAAGCTGGGATGATCTGAAGCCAGGAGCTTCCTCTGGGTCTCCCACGTGGGTGCAGGGGCCCAAGCACTTGGGCCATCCTCTGCTGCTTTCCCAGGCCACAGCAGAGAGCTAGATAGGAAGTGGAGCAGCTGAGACCCTAACTGGCACATATATGGGATGCTGGCACTGCAGGTGGTGGCTTTATCTGCTCTGCCACAGCATCAGCTCCAGGTTTTTTTTTCCATTGGATAAAAATGACTCCAGAGATACCAACCTTACTGCTTCTGTAACTTTGGGTAGGCCTTGCCAGTTATATCCCCACCCTCCATCCCTGTTTAAAAGTATGTCTGTTGTTGGAAGACAACAACCATATGAAGGTAGAAACAGTATGAGAATCAGCCTTACATTATGGGAAGAGCACAATTCTCCCTATCCTTAGGTTCTGCATTTGTGGAATCAACCAACTGTGGATTGAAAATATTCTTTTCAAACGGATTGGACCTGTAGAGAGGTTTTTTGTTGTTGTTGTTTCTTGTTATTCCTTAAACAATACAGTATAGCAACTTTTTTTTTTTTAAGATTTATTTATTTGAAAGGCAGAGTTATAGAGAGGCAGAGGCTGAGAGAGAGAGAGAGAGAGAGAGAGAGAGAGAGGTCTTCCATCTGCTGGTTCGTTCCCCAGATGGCTACAATGGATAAAGCTGTGCTGATCCAAAGCCGGGAGCCTCTTCCGGGTCTTCCACATGGGTTTAGGGGCCCAAGCATTTGGGCCATCTTCCACTGCTTTCCCAGTCCATAGCAGAGAGCTGGATCGGAAGTGGGGCAGCTGAGACTTGAAATGGCACCCACATGGGACGCTGGCACTGCAGGCAGTGGCTTTACCTACTGTACCACAGCACCGGCCTCCATAAAAACTCTTTACACAGCATTTAAATTGCATTATATCTAAAGATGGCTTAACATATATGGGAGAATATTTATAGTTGGTATGTAACTAATTTACACAAGGCACTTGAGTGAGGATTTTGGAATCTATGGGGAGTCCTGGACCCAGTCTTTCATGGATACAGAAGGATCACTGATTCTGTTGTACAATGAGGGATGGGTTGGAGATGGGAAAAAGTAGAGACTAGTGGTCTAGATAATCAATAACAAAAAGCCCAACTTGCTGCAATAGTGAGAGTAGGGAATGGAAACTGACCGTGCTGCTTAGAAGTTGAGCTTTAAGGGAACAGCAGGGAGTGTGCTGGCTAGGTGGAGATTCAGGGTCATAGGGGATAGTTTTTATAAGGTTGGTTTTGATTTTAAGATCGGGATAGATGCATATTTATATGATGGGAAGAGTTGGTATAGGGGAACATATTGAGAAATACAACATACAAAGCCTGCTGCCTTTCAGATTGCAAATATATTGTGAAAATATGTAACAAATGACTATTTACTGGTAAATTCCTCAGTCTGAATGTAACAGGTGAAATTAGTGTTTTATGGGGCTAAATGTATAGTGTACTTAATTTGGGGGGCATATTTTTTAGCCACAGAATATTCTGTTGACAAGCGAATCTCCACTTGGTGACATCAAGATAGTTGATTTTGGACTTTCAAGAATAGTGAAGAACAGTGAAGAACTTCGAGAAATTATGGGCACTCCTGAATATGTGGGTGAGTACTCTAAGAATACAGTGGTTTTGTGTTTAGGGTCAGGCATCACTGTAAGATCTCCATGTGGCATGATGCATAGTGGGGCCAGTCATCTGCTGTTGTTGAAATTCCACCATAAGAAATTGGTTGCTTTGGATTACATTTTAAAATGGACAACGTTCAAGAGTAAGGTGCAAAATGGTGTTGCCTGTCCACAAGTCAGTGAGTTTGAAGGGATTATTTCTAAAAGAAATGGAGAGGATTTTGAGTTGCTATAAGGCCTTGTTAAAAATCAAGCACCTTTACAGACATTCTGGGTGGTGATGAATGTTGTGATAAAGGAATTGCCTACCATGGACCTCTGCAGAAGCACAAGAGGTGTGGGTCCACGCAAGGTAGAGAGCTCCTGGCATTATGAAAAAGCTTAAACTTGAAGGTTACAGCAGCACCATTAGTCCAGCTTGTGTAGAAAAAGAAGTAATCTATGATTTTATTTGGTAGACTAACTAGAAGAAAAATGGGACTGATTAAGGCTGCAGAACAATTTAGAAGTTGTGACCAGATACTAGAATATTAGCATTTAAAATTTCAGTGCTGAGACAGCACTTTGTAATTCTGAAGCTTGGATCAAGGTCAGGAAACTTTGATGCCAGGCTGTATGGGTGCTAGAAGTCAGTGTGGCGGTTGCCTAGGGTAATGTCAGCCCTGGGAGAGCAGGATGGCTGGTGTGTCAGTAGATGATGGCAGCCAGGCAGGGAGTAGAGAAGGCTGTGGCCCGGGGCTGATGGGAAGAAGACTTCACTTGTGGGTAGATGTGCAGTGGGCAAACAGGCAGATTCTGATGTGGGGGGACAGAGGAAGAGCCAGGCTCCTTTCAAAGGACTATTAACTGAAGCAACTGAGAATTTCAGAGGACACAGAAAGGAGTGAAGATGGAGCGGAAGGAAACAGTTGGCAGTGACAGTACAGAAAATCATTCATAGTTTTAAAGTCCTACAATTTAAAGCAGATTCTTTAGTGAAAGGCACTATGAGCAGAGACTAAACAACCTTGAAAACTTATTTTTTATGGACTAGAATACATAATTTTCAATACACTGTTATGCATTATGACCACTAATTAAGTTTTAGAAATATGACAACTTTTTTAGGAAAAGCAACAGCCCAAATATACTAGCCAATTTTGACAGTTAGCATTGTACACTTGAAAAAATGCAGGAAACCACAGAATGAAGGGCAATGAGCTAAAATGTTGAAATGGTAATTATTACCCTGAAGGAGGTTTTGTTTAAATGTTTTCTGATTGGTTTTGGTAAATTCCAAATTTTCTACCAAGAGCCTGTTCCACCTCAAAAGCAGAACTGTCTTCTGTATTAAAAAAAAAAATCTAAAATGAATTCAGCAGTATGTAAAATGGTGTTTTCTTTTAAATGAAGCTAAATGTTTTTGTTCTGTTTTTTTGTTACTAGCTCCTGAAATTCTTAGTTATGATCCTATCAGCATGGCAACAGATATGTGGTAAGCGTTGTTCATGAAAACTGATCAAATTAGTTTTAAGAAGTGAGATGTGATATTAATCTTTTTTATATTTTCTTTAATTTAGGAGCATTGGAGTGTTAACATATGTCATGCTTACAGGAATATCACCTTTCTTAGGTGATAATAAACAAGAAACATTCCTGAACATTTCACAGATGAATTTAAGTTACTCTGAGGAAGAATTTGATACTGTGTCTGAGTCAGCTGTTGACTTCATTAAGAAACTTTTAGTTAAGAAACCTGAGTGAGTATTAATTGATATGGACCGATGTCACTTTTTGGGTCGTCTATTCTGAACAAATGAAGACTGTAGATGAAAACCTTGGCTTCATATACACTGAAAGAAAATTGACAAAAATGAAAATGATTTTAAAAATGTGAACTGTATTTCATTATGACAGGATTTAAATACTAGCAAAATTGTATCACAGATGTGTCATGCAGTGAGTGATGCTTCCAATTCAGTGAGTTGAAACTGACAGTGATGTGACAGCTAATCCTCAGCAGAGATATTCCAAGATACCTTACTTAAAATATTTTTCAATTTAAGGGAAACTGCACCCAAATTCTAAAATTTCTAGTTTTATTTAGAAATGACAAGATTTTTGTCAACTCTTCATACTTCCCAAAGTAGAATACAATACATTATTTGAATTTTTATATTTCTTATAATTTTTAATTGAAGTGTTCCTCGTGTCTTTATACAGAGATCGAGCCACTGCTGAAGAATGTCTGAAACATCCGTGGTTGACACAGAGCAGTATTCAAGATCCTGTTTTAAGAGTGAAAGAGGCCTTAGAAGAAGCAAATGCCCTCCAAAAAGGTGATTCTGTGCCTGAAATTAGTTCAGCTACTGAGAAACCAGGAACCGAAGAATCAATTGTAACTGAAGAGTTAATTGTAGTTACTTCGTATACTTTAGGACAATGCAGACAGTCTGAAAAAGAGAAAATGGAGCAAAAGGCCATTTCCAAGCGATTTAAATTTGAGGAACCTTTGCTACAAGAAATTCCAGGAGAATTTATCTACTGAGCGGTGTTTCCCTTTAGAACTTGATTTCTACATTGAAAATGTTGATATTATTTATGGACCTTTGGCCAGATGGTAACTGAAAGTGGATAACCAGACATCACCGTAGAAAAAAATAACTTTATCAAACTTGTGGATTTAAGTGAATCAAGCCAGATTTATAAATTTGCCAACCAGGAGGTTTAACAGGTAAAGTTATCTGTTTCAATGTTATTAAGAAGGGAGATATTTGCACCTTTAAAACTACATCCTTTTTCTCCAGAATGAGAAGTTGTGTCTAACAGTATTTGTATTCACTTTAAAAATCCAAGTAAAAGTGCCAAAATTCTCTAACTCTCTTGCATTATTCGTACATGTAGTTGTATCTGTTTAGATGCATGTTGATACTTTTCCACTTTGGATTTTTCTTGGGAAGATTTTAATTTCAATAGACATCCTCTAAAGTTTTTGAGAACTAGAATATATAGTTCGATAATCTTATTTTTTTGTATTTTTTTACTGCTTTATATTGACTTGATTTGGCTTCTGTTGGTTTTTGCCTAAGAGAGGTAGTGATTTTTTTCACCTCTGAAAAATATTTGGTTAATTTGTATAAAATTAAAGTGTTGTGTGTTTTAGCCATTTCTGTCATCACATCATGTTCACTTTTGTAGACTAACAGACTACCTCTTTGCCCCTCGTCCCAAGCTTGTGACCTGGTTGGCATTATAATTGCTTTTGTCCCCAAGTTAATAAAACCTAGAGCACAGGAGGCAGAGAAAAACACATTTATTTATGCCAATGAGCTTACACTTGAGTTTCTTTTCAGCCTTCAAGCTATGCTAGGAAAAGTTTTTTCTTTGTTCATAAAAATTTTGGCACTGGATACTTGGTCTTTAGGGAAGTACTTTGCCCCAAAAAGTAAGAATATGCTCCATAAAGTTTGCAATTATATCCAGGTCCCATAGTGAACAGTAAATTCTTGTTTTAAAGATGGAAATGTAAAAGTCTATTAAGTAGACTTACACAAATGTCTATGATCTCACTCACCCTGGTATGGCTTATACAAAGAAATGGATTAGGCAGACCAGATGATGAGACTGCACTGTTTTCTAAGTTGACTATAGAAAGCTGCTTGGAAGTAAAAGGGGAAGAGGAAATTCTGCCACAGTGGCAGGGTTTGCAATGAAAACCCATGACCACAATGTTGAACCTCAGGTAACTGAGAGAAATACAAACTTAGGCAAATGTACCAATATTTCTCTGCCAAAAACCCTTACTATTGAATGACACATTTTTGTACTTGATGAATTTGTCAGGTTTTAAAATCAGTCATTTGGACTTTTTCAAAATACATCTAATAAAAGTACTGTATTTGTGAAGAAAGTTGTTGTCTTTTGGTTGGCTGCCTATCTTCAGCCGCTTTTGTACCTTGAATTTTGAGCTGTATGGTGTTTTCTTAAGAAGACTTTCAGAATATACTTATAAGTAGAAAGATTCAATTTGGCCTGTCATGTAACCCCCAAAAATGCCTATATACCTTTATGACAGCTACTTCTACACTTTTTCAATTTCCAAATTATACAGCTTATAAACCCAGTTTTCATAAAATGTTGATGAGCAGTTTATGGGCAATGCAAAATATGTAACTGGTTTGAATCAGTTGGGAAATTGAATATTCTAGGTTTTGTTTACACATGAAAATAGGACAAAATGACTTTCTGTAGAAGTTATGGAAAATTCTGGAATCTGACTTTTGAATTGACTTTAGTTTGGAAAAAACTGCATTATAGTTCTCAGTAATGTAAATGGCAGTGGTGTATGGGTCAGTCCATACAGATATAAGCATGTTCAGAAACAATATTGACCAGTGAATGCAAGAATAATATTAAATGCTAGGAAAAATTATCCAAACTTTAGATTCAAAATTTTTTACATCAAAAAACTCTTATTTTTCCACAAACTTTATGTGCATTACTATTTAGAAGGGTAGTTTATAGTCTCATCTTGTTTCTGACTTCAATAGAAAACCTTTAGTAAGTTGAATTTGTTGGTTTGGTAGATATGTACATACACATGGGAAGATAATGAGTTTTTGTCAAATGCCTTTTATATAATTATATACCATATAATTTTCCTCTTAGGCAACCCTTCTTTTTTTTTTTAACTTTTATTTAATGAATATAAATTTCCAAAGTACAGCTTATGGATTACAATGGCTTCCCCCCCATAACGTCCCTCCCACTCGCAACCCTCCCCCCTTCCATTCACATCAAGATTCATTTTCGATTCTCTTTATATACAGAAGATCAGTTTAGCATACATTAAGCAAAGATTTCAACAGTTTGCTCCCACACAGAAACATAAAGTGAAAGATACTGTTTGAGTACTCGTTATAGCATTAAATCTCAATGTACAGCACACTAAGGCCAAAGATCCTACATGAGGAGTAAGTGCACAGTGACTCCTGTTGTTGACTTAACAAATTGACACTCTTGTTTATGGCATCAGTAATCTGCGCAAGGCAGCCCTTTGATATTTCATACTTCTAACACTGAACTACCCTTGCATTCCAGGAATAAACCTCTCTCAGTTACTGTTAAGAGCCAGGGTAGGTTATGTTCGTCTGGGACAGCAAACAGCCCCCAAACTTAGGAGCTTTTAAGGATTTACTTGTCACTCCTGCTGAATGTCTTCTGTCGATCAGCTGTTCTAAGAACTCAAGCCTTCGAAGTAGCCTTGTAGTCACTTCTCATAAAGCAAGGCAGGGATAGACAGTTGTCAGGCAACCAGGTATTTTGTGAAAAAACTACATCAGAATTTTTCATCAACTCTTAAGAGTTGTGAAGTGTGTGTGGGGGGGGGGGGCTAGTTCCTACCTCGATGGATTATAATTTAATAATAAAAGGTATTTTATATTATACTACATGTAAGCTTACATAACAACTAAAAAGAAAATGAAGATGAGAAGTAATCTCTCCTAAAATTTACCTGCACCCGAGCTGGGTGTTAGGGGCACATTTTTGTTTTTAATCTCCATTTTTCTACCCCTGGATAACAACATGCTACAGTTTTTCTGATACAACAGAGCAACTTGGCTGAAGCTGCTTAGAAGACATGCCTGAACTGGGAGCAGGTTACTAAGGAGGCAAGAATCTTCTTGTGGGTGGAGATGGAGGTTGGCCTATCACCTCCTGCCTCCTGTGTAAATAGCATCTTTTCCCCAAGCATCCCAACGAGCAGTATAAACATTGCCTCACCTGTCAGGCAGGTGATTGGTAAATATTTATTCATAGTTCTCATACGGACAAACTGAAAACACAATCAAATGGCCTAAGGGCAATTTCAGAGTTCCTGTCTACTGAGCGTTTCCCTTTCCCTTCCCCTTCCAGTGGCCAGAGGGAAGATATGTTTTGTATACATGTAACTTTTCAGCTTCATCCTTGCTGTATTCAACATTACCAAAACTGGGGATAATAAAACCTTGTCTTACCAGGTATTGTCAAGTCCCTGGTTTGGTGAATAGCGAAGGTTTGGAGTCAAGAGGAAGCTTATGCTAGGAAAATGGAACAAATAACAGTAAAAATTATTGATTTATCTCAAAGTTATACAAGTCTTGTCAGTATACATTCAGCAGTCTCTGAAACCTTCATTAACAGCAGAAGCATATACTCAACCTTTGCTGATACAAACTATGTACAAAATGTTAACTCTAGCATTCACTTTATGGCAAGCCTATTTTTCTAGGACATTCTTTTACTTTATCTACAGCTAGCCTATACATGGCTAAAACATGTCTGCTGCATAGCTCACTCCAGGGCCTTAGTTCATGTCATTTTTTCCTCACCTGAAAGGCACATCTGGACACTCTTCCCTCCACTGGATTTCTCCTAACTGGTGTCTCTCTTAATACAGTAACTCCCCAGCCCTTGCTTAGCCACCCAGCATAGTAGCTGGTAAGCAGATTGCAAGCAAAGACCCTCTAGCACCTTGCCATAGTGAACTCCAAGAGTCATGCTACCATTTGTTGGCTGTGATCTCTCTTCTGCCATCTTTACTAATCTACAGTTGTTAGCATTCTTTCTCTAATCTCTGGGCTATCCCATCTCTTTATGGGATATGCTGGGGGCACTTGGCCAAACACTGCCCATAGCAGAAAGTTACCTTTTCCTCTGATGACAGTATGTATTACCCAAGACGTCATCAGGGCAGGTAATGGGAGTTAATGGCTGAGTCACAGTGATTACTGGATATACGGGAAGTAGTGGGCTGGAAATACACATCAGTGCTCTCCTCAAAGAACAGGAAAGACGGTGTCCACTGCATCCGTGACTATGTCAAGCTCATACATGGAAGTAAATTTAACTAGGAAAAAGTACTCAAAAAATGGTAGCTTTCAAATAGAAATCAAGGAGCTTGTCACAAACTAATTCTATTTCCTGTCTACTGGATTAGAAAAACCTTCATTAATTCAAACTATACAAAATAAAATATCACGTGTTTTCCTTCAGAACACATAGCCCACCTAGGCCCTGTTCTATGCTTTGGCCAAAGCAAAGTACTAAAAGACTCCAGCAAACACTAAAAGGAAGTGATTTGTCAAATATGAAGCAATACATAAATTGTTTTCTACTGGATAATAGAATAGTATAACTTAAAGTATTCGAATATTTATCAGTAAATACCCTGGCAAAAGTGCTCTCAGGGAAAGATACTTTTCACTGAATAATCTCAAAGAATAAACAATTTTTAAGACAAACTCCAGAGTTTATATATGAAGGCCTCATACTCCATCAATAAGTTTTTTTGCTGAGAATCTTCTCCAGTGAATATTGATGTAGGAAAAAAGCTCAATGTCCTTCATTATAGACCATTATAGCTGCACTAAGCCTAGTACTAAGGATTAAGTTTGCTTCTTCAAAGGAAAGATCAGACTTCTGTTTTGTAGGCGCTGTTGCTCAAAAGGAAGGCCTTGTACTTCAAAAGACTAATAAAAACTAAGGGTGCGATTCTCTAATATGTAGTTTGGGAATCAGAAGGCTCAGGACTTGGAAGCTTTAAGTTAACCTCCCAACATGAGCTATATATGTACATGTGTACACATAAGTTTTTTAGGCTTTCAAATGATCGGTATGAAAGCAGTTATTTTTCAGATCTGCAACTGAGCAGCAGTTGGTGACTGAAACATAAATAATAAAATCAGCATGGCAAGCAAAATATTCTAGATTGAGAATGCCCACAAGCTACTTAACAACATGAATTCAAGGTAAAGTGAACAAAACAACAGTGTCTGGTGTATCCTGGCAGTCTAATGTCAACAACTGAGAAATTCTAGTAAGCCTCGATCTCCATAGGTGCAAGGGAAAAGAGACAAGAACCCGCAGAAATAGTTTTTCATTAATACTGATTTCATTTATCCTGTGCTTTATACAGAATACTTTAAATTACCTTATTGACAGGTTTTTTCTAATTCAATTAAAAACACTAGCATTTATTATGATCAAGTTAGAATGATAGCCAAATTACCATATGCCAGCACACACATTCACCCTACCAGCAGCTGGACAATTTCGCTTGCAGGAGTGCCTGCCAATCTGAGGGACTGTCACCGTTGGAGGGTTCCCAGTGGAATGAGAGAAGACCAGGACTGAAGGAAGCCGAGTCGTCTTGATCACCTTCGCTCCTTTTTTATTTTATCACCACCCTCCTCACTGAGCTTGAACATGGGAATCTGCTGACCACCCTTGAGCTCTAAGAAGACCTCCTGAAGGTGTCACCTGATAGAAACCAAAAGTGCATCTCCCATCAATGAAACGGAGGCAAAAGACATCAAAAATGTAAAAAAGGAGCCAGCATTGTGGCATAGCAGATAAAGCTGCTGCCTCCAACACCTGCATTCCATATGGGCGCCGGTTTGTTTTCAGTTGGCTCCACTTCCGATCCAGCTCCCTGCTAATGACCTGGGGAAAGCAGGAGAAGATGGCCCAAGTGTTCGGGGCCCTGCACGCATATGGGAGACCTAGAAGCAGCTCCTGGCCCAGCACTGGCCACTGTGGTCATCTGGGTATAGTACCAGATGGAAGATCTGTCTCTCCATCTCTCTCTCTCAAGTAAATAAGTGAATCTTAAACAAAAAGTTGAGACATTATTCCTATCTCTTTCAACAGTATTTTATGTTAGTGCTGTGTTAACAATGTTTTAACTTTCTAACATAGGCTCTAATGACTTACCCAGCATCACTGTCAAGGCAGGCTTACGGATGGATGACTGACAGGTGAATGAAGGGGCAGAAAGGAGAAGGAGCAGCTTATTTCCCACTTCCTAATTCACACTGACCCTCAGTTCCTAGCCTGGATCCAGCCAGCTCCTCCTAATTCCAGCCTCAGAGGTCAGTGAGCCCAGAGTGAGCTAGGTGGGGGTTGCCTCAGGGATGCTTGCTGCTTTTGTCCTCAGGAATTAAAACATCCCGGTCAAACAGCAGACGTCTCTGAGAGGCTTCCCCATGGGGGAAGTGAGTGGCTGTAGCTATTGGCAACCAGACAAGAAAAGCCAATTAATGGGGTGGAGAGCTTATGTAGAGAATGTGATGAATAATTCTGGAACAGAAATTTGTAATGATTGAAGCCATGGAGTTAGAAGATGTAACATAGCATCAAATTACTGTAGACCAAGACCTCTATAACCATAAAGTTTTTCAAATTCAGTAGCATAGGAAAGGGACAATTCAGTAGATTGGATTAATTGTCTGGACTGAGCTAAGAGCCCCGGCACTGGCTTGTTGCCCAGGCCTTGAGGCTTTCAGTTCCAAGCTTTGAAAACTAATTCTTACTACTGTGAGCCTTTAATCACAGTGAAAATGGAAACCAGGTTTGTTTGCATCAGGAGGCTCTCCTGCTGCTCCCCTACCCTCCCCACTGTCACTTCCTCTAATACCTCCGAAAGGGGCATCTCTGGAAGAGCTGACGTAGAGGTGACCCTGGGACTCGACTCGGATCCAGAGACAGGAATCTTCAACTGTGCATGACAAACAACAGTGAAGAGAAACACACCTGGATTTATCTCAAAACAACTGACAAAACCATGATTTCTAGAGCCAACCCTATAAAATCCCAGGGATTATTCACATAATTGAGTTTCTCACACAGCTCCACTAGAGCATCCACCTGATTTTCCAAATGTCCTGCCTCCTTTGCATGGTTTAGTGAGGTCATCTGGCAAGAATTTACATGCCAGACTTGATGCTCTGGGTACTTATAACAACCACTCAAAAATCCACTGTTAAAAAGGAACAACAAAGTGAGTATCAAAAATAGGCTGAGTGGGAAGCTTTACATGGGGAAATACAATCTTAAGAATCTGTAAAATGATTCCATTTCTGTTAAGTTCCAGAACAGGCTACACTATGCTGGGGGAAACTGGCAAATAATGACCTCTGGTGGAGTCAGTAGATGGAAGAAGGGCCCAAGAGGGAAGGGCACAAAGGCTCTCCGGTGATAGGAAACGTCAGCACCTCGAGAGGGGCTTGAGGCGGGTGTACGTATTGGTTAAAACTCTTCAGATACATGGGGCCAGCAGTGTGGTGCAGTGGGCTAAGCTGCTGCCTGCAACGCCCCCATCCCACACCAGTGTCAGTTCAAGTCCCAGCTGATCTGCTTCTGATCCGTCTCCCTGCTAATGTGCCTGAGAAAGCAGAGGAGGATGGCCACCCACATGGAGACCCAGATAAGGTTCCAGGCTTCTGGCTTCAGCCTTGCCCAGCCTCTCGGTTGTGGTCATTTGGAGAGTGAACATGCAGACAGAAGATCTCTGTCCCTCTGTAGCTGCCTTTCCCATAAATAACAATTTAAAAGAAAAAAATATATAACACTTGGAGTTTTACCTTTCATGGAATATAAACTTTATCTCAAAAAATAAACTTTAGCTAATCATATATATATATACTGTGTATTTATAAGTGTACTGACTTTGATAATTTAAAAAAATATTTATTTGAAAGGCAGAGCTGCAAAGAGGCAGAGAGAGAGAGAGAGAAAGGTCTTCTATCTGCTGGTTCACTCCCCAAATGGCCACAATGGCTGGATCTGGGTTGATCTGAAGCCAGGGGCAGGAACTTCTAGGTCTCCCATGTGGTACAGGGGCCCAAGGACTTGGGCCATCTTCTGCTTTCCTAGGCAGAAAGTAGCAGAGAGGTGGATCGGAAATGGAGCAGCCAGGACTCGAATTGCTGCCCACATGGGATGCCGACACTACAGGCAGCAGCTTCACCCACTACACCACAGTGCCAGCCCCCTGATAATTTTAATATCCTAAAATAGAAAGATGGATTTGAGATGTGACTATGACTATGCAAACAGGCACAAGATAAAGCAAACAGAGAAAATATTAAATGTTGAATTCAGGCAGTAACTGTTTGGGTGCTCACAGTACAAATTTACTGTACTAAACTTTTACGATAATTTTTTTTTTTTTTTTTGGACAGGCGGAGTGGACAGTGAGAGAGAGAGACAGAGAGAAAGGTCTTCCTTTGCCGTTGTTTCACAATAGATTTTAAACGGGGCTGGCACTGGCCTGGCAGCTAAGATACTGGGTGGGATATCTGCAGGAGTGCCTGGGTTTCAGTCCTGACTCTACTCCTTATGGTTCCAGTTTTAGTGTATGTGCTTGCCGAAGCGATCACAACTCCATTCCTTAGTAAGCTTCCTGCTAAGGTACACCCTAGAGAGCAGCAGGTAATGGGTGGAAGTCCTTGGGTCTCTGCCCCAACATGGGGGACAGCGCTGATTAGGACCCAGATTAGGTTCCTGGTTCTTGGCTTTGGCCTGGCCCAACCCCAGCAATTGCAAGTATTCTGGGGAGTGAACCAGTCTGTAAAAGTACTCAGTTTCTGGAACTCTCCCCTCTAACCTCTTTCTCTTTCAATAAATAAAAATATTTTAAAAAACATTAAAAATTAAAGAGACAAGATAATGCCTGCTGTTGAAAATGGGGAAGTGGGGCTGGTGCAGTGGTGCAGTAGGTTAATCCTCTGCCTGCGGTGCCAGCATCCCATATGGGCACTGGTTTTAGTCCCGGCTGCTGCTGCTCTTCCAATCCAGCTCTCTGCTGTGGCCTGGGAAAGCAGTGGAGCATGGCCCAAGTCCTTGAGCCCCTGCACCCACATGGGAGACCAGGATGAAGCTCCTGGCTCCTGGCTTCGGCAGGAGCTTTGTCCATTGTGGCCATTTGGGGAGTGAACCAACGGAAGGAAGACTTTTCTGTCTCTCTCTAACTCTGCCTCTCAAATAAATAAATAAAATCTTAAAAAAAAAAAAAAAAGAAAATGGGGAAGTATTAGCAGCAATTACATCTTGACTGAGACCACAAAGAACAGGCTTCAGGGTGGCATAGTCAGCCCGCTGTGTCTGCAGGTTCTACATCAGCAGATTCGGCCAACGGGATCGGGAGAAAAGCTTGCAACTGTACTGAAAATGTTTAGACTTTTTTCTTGTCATATTCCCTAAGCAATATAGTATAACAACTATTTATATAATAGCCACATTGTATTATGTATTATAAGTAATCCAGGGATGATTTACAGTTCACATATGGAAGTGCATAGCTTATATCCAGAGACGACACCATTTTACATCAGGGACTTGAGCATCCCAGATTTGGTATTGTGTTGGGGTGGGGGATTCCTGGAATTCTGAGAGCCAACTGCACTTTATTATCAGAATACTTGAGCATGAATTGTCCATAATTCCATTAAGAGAATAAAGGCAACAAAATAAAGTAGGTCAGAACAAGTCACGCTTATTCTCAAAAACGCTCTAAGGACTTCTGCTGCCACGAAATCCAAAGCACAGAGCTGACATGATGATGGCAGCTCTAGCTGGCCCAGCAGGTCCTGCCCGCCACACCCACCCTTGCCAACCCCTGTCCCCACAACAAAGCCACGTGCACAGGACACAGCACCAGCATTCCAGCGCGTGCTGCTCCTCGGCCTGTGTCCTTGTCCACTGTGCAAAATCTTTGGAGTAACCTCTGAGGCCTCTAACATCTCCCTCCTGGGACTACACGATGGTGACAGCATTTGCTTCACTGTTTCTTTTCCTGGACTTTTAAACTTGTAAAAACTCCCCAATGCCTTTTCCATCTCTGCATTCCTCACATAGCTTAGAATCGTTCCTGTAACCAGGGCATGTACTCAAAACGTTTGCTAAACAGAAAAACAATGCATTTTATACTCCAATGGTGTTTTATCAAGCTGAACTACACACAAAAAGATAAGATGTAGCTCAAAAAATATCCCATGGAAGCGATGTAAACAAACATTTTAAAGTTGAGGATTAAAGAGCTGGGTATATCTGAATGAGCTTTGACTGCGCATATATATATATATATTTATTTCAAGTTCAAAGCCAAAATAGCAGCAAACCAGCACTGGGCATTTCTCAGCTACCTACAGTTCAAGATAGCAACATAAGCACACTAGCCACCATCGCTGTCACATCAATTCCTCAAAAAGGGACACAGTCACATGAAAATAAATGAATCTACAGTAATATTTTATTTATTTATTTACTTAGTTACAGGCAGAGTTAGACAGTGAGAGAGAGAAAGGTCTTGCCTCTGTTGGTTCACCCCCCAAATGGCCACTATGGCCAGCGCGCTGTGCCGATCAGAAGCCAGGAGCCAGGTGCTTCCTCCCGGTCTCCCATGCGGGAGCAGGGCCCAAGCACCTGGGCCATTCTCCACTGCTTTCCCGGGCCACAGCAGAGAGCTGGACTGGAAGAGGGGCAACCGGGACAGAATCTGGTGCCCCAACCAGAACTAGAACCCAGGGTGCCAGCGCCGCAGGTGGAGGATTAGCCTAGTGAGCAGCAGCACCAGCCAGTAATATATTTTTTAAATAAATACAAAAAAAATAATAAAAATATATGCTTTTTAAAGATGCTACACCTAGTGACGTTCTTAGTGATTTTCTTCCCAGTCGAAATCCTTAATCGCAGTTTCCGCCAAGAGTCTTCCCAGAGGACGGCAGCCCCTCTCCCTCAGTACGCACCCAGTCTGCGTTCACAAGGAGAGCCCGTACCTGGGCGTCAGCAGTGTCCGCAGCGTTGTGCTTGTCACAAGTCGGAGATAGTGAACCCTGAGGGGAGTGCCCAGAGCCCCCAGTGCCTCGGGCTGGTTCTGCAGCTGCTCAGTGCCAGCCGGTAATACGAAGCCCTGGAAAAAGTTTCTACCTGGGAAGGAAAGATGGTATTTTTCTTAATTTCATTGATGTCGATCAGGTAGACGCGCCACAAAAAGTGACACAATGCAATTGGTATACAAGGTGGAGACAGAAATGTCAAATTTGTGGATGGAAGAATAATTAGGGACAACTTACTCTAAAATACCCATTTCACATACTTGAAAACCAAAGCTCAGAAAGGCAGTGTCTGCAGGGTATGTGCAGATGACCCTGGGAAAGGTGCTCACCCCTTCTGCGCCTCCATTTCTTCATCTCGTTTCCTCACCTCATTCTCTAGCTCTGCTCTTTGCTCTGGTTTTGCTCAGAGCACCTATGATACCTTATTTCTAACCATCCCTCCGTCCTCTAAGATGATGCATAAAACAGACTACAACATTAACAACAAAACCCTTGCGCAAAGAAATAGCACTTGAAAATACTTGTTGGGGCCAGTGTTGTGGCATGGCAGGGAAAGCCACCGCCTGCAGTGCTGGCATCCCATATGGGCACCAGTTCGAGTCCCCACTGCTCCTCTTCCGATCCAGCTCTCTGCTATGGCCTGGGAAAGCAGTAGAAGATGGCCCAAGTCCTTGGACCCCTGCAACCCCATGGGAGACCCGGAAGAAGCTCCTGGCTTTAGATCGGCACAGCTCTGAGAGTGGCAGCCATCTGGGAGTGAACTAGTGGATGGAAGGCCTCTCTCTCTCTGCCTATCCTCCTCTGGGTAACTCTGCCTTTCAAATAATCTTTTTGAAAAAAAAAAAAAAAAAAGAAGGAAAAGGTTTGTCAAGTTTAGAAATTAAAGCCAACATGCCAATTAGAATCACATTCTGTCTCCAGAACCTCCCTAGCCCCCAAAGGTCACTGGGAACGACAGGACGCACTTCCTAGAAGGTCCCAAAGCAGAGGGGTTGGTTTGGCACAGAGTCTCCCTCCTATAGGTCTAATTACAAGGAGAGGAGAAGGTGCTCAAGCCCGGAAGAGTGCGCACACGGTGCTGCTTCCCAGGAGCGAGCCACAGCACAAGGACAGGGCCGGCCTTGACAGGAAGGAAGGGCCGAAGCTGGGCCAATCAGCTCATCTTTACTGAGTGATGTCTGTGGCCAGGCACTGAGGCCCAAGAAGGAAAAGGACTTCTCTGCAAGGCCACACAGCTGGTCGAGAGCTGGGTCTGGGATGCAGGCAGGGTAGCTGACTGCAGAGCCCAGGCCTCAGCCACCCAGGAGGGCTCTGCTGGCTGACTAGCCCCCTAGAGGGGAGAGGGTGGCAGGCCAGAAGGCAGCACCCTGACCTGAAGTGGCACCCATTCCTGTCGGGTTCCTGCCCAGTCCCTCTGCCAGGGGGAAAGGAGGCCGAGTCATTCCAGTCTGATCTGTTCTTGGGAAAGCTCCTCTCAGGCCACCTCCAGACCGACTCAGCAGGAGGGTGGGCAGTGGGTGGGGAGGCCACAGCTCTGTTCAGTGTCTGCTGGCCACATTCACTGTGTCCCAGGAAGAAGGGAAAATGCTGCAGAACAGGTTGAGGAGCCAGGCAGGGCGGGGTTAACTAACCCTAGGATAAAGTGAAAAAACAAAACAAAAAAACCCAACAAAAACCCTGCTGCTGCTTCACCACTGAAATGACCTTAAATGTCTGGCTTCAGACAATAAATGCGGCTTGTCTTTACAAATTCTAATTTGGGAGCAATGGGGGCTGGAAGCCACATCTGTCAGGATTTTGCCATCCGGGCCTCTGCATTATTTTCTGCTCTAGTCAGAGTCCCTTGCTGAAGGTCCCCTCCTCCAGTGAATGGACAGGAGAGAAAGGCAGGACAAACAAGCTGACAGCATGTAAGAAACACAGTTCCCCTCACCTGCGAAGCATCTAGCAGCCCCTCCCCTGCGTTCCGTCATGAGGTCCCAGAATCCTGATGGATTCCCTGTGTGCGCACCGGCATGAAAGCCCATCTTGCTCTGCAAGCCCTCTAACCGAATGAATGCTCCTTGCGCCTCCTGGAAAACCTGGGATTTCAGGAGAGAGGAGGAAGCGATAGCCAGTGGAATGGTGGACTGGCTTCCAAAACAGCCCCTCCTGTTTCTCCAATCTGCGGGGAGCAGCTCCAGTGTTCCCTTTGCTGGAGGAGCAGAGTGAAGACTGGGAGAAGGCCCCACCCGGGGCCTGGCACTTACTTTGTATAAAGTAAAAAACGGGGGCCGCCCCCAGCAATCATGGCACTGGTGAGAAGAAACACTTTTCCCAGAGGCTCTGACATCCTGCTTCCTGGAGACTTCAAAAACAAAAGACACAAGACACAAATTTATTGTAAGATTCAGTTTCATGCCAAGGGCCTCTGCCTGGACTGGGGCTCCACAGGGAAAGGACAGCTAAGGAAGACGCCAGCGAGCAGTCAAGGCTGCCCTTGCACTTTTGCTTCCTTTCCAATTGCCAGGGCTGCTTCTGGAGCCAGAGAGAGTGCCCTCCCGAGGGTGCCCTCCCAAGGGTGGCCTGCATCCAGGACACAGGCCGGGGGCGGGAGGGGAGGGGGAATTCTACTACCCCCAACCAGCCAAGCACAGAGCCAGCATTCAGTCCCACCATCCTGACGGACAGAACCTGGCCTGTGTGCCAAAGCCCGGCGCAGCCAGGAAGCACAACCACTTTGTCTCAGGCCAACTGGTAAACAGGAAGCTTATCCTTCTGTGGCAAGAGCTGGTCTCACAAGCCTGTGAATGGGCCAGAGCTGGCACTGGCCACTTTCTTTCCTGTTTTGAAAAGCACCCCACCCCATGGACGGAGGAACTCTGGTTATGACTTTCAGGCTGAACTAAGAGACGGAGTAGTGCCAGTTCAACAAATACAACACCACGTCTGCCCTGGGCCTGGATGAAACCCACTCTCCTTCTTGGTGGCCATTTAACCACCGCTCACACTGGCCTGGGCTTCTGTGGAAAGCCATTAGCTCTCCAGCTGTGAAACAGAACAAGACTCTGGCCAAGGGGTCGGACAGAAACCAAACAGAGGTCACAGTCAAATGCCCAGCGGGCCATGCAGGTCACATAATCGAGAGCAGACACCGCGAAGCTAAGAGCACACAGGATGGCTGAGGGGGCAGCTTCACCCTGGCTCCAGCTAAATGGGGCCATGAGGGTTAAGTCTCAGTGTTTCTTCATATGTGCCATAAATCATGTCTTTTGGGTGAAATCCTTCACTTCCTAACGTTGACAACCAACTTAAGAAATACAAGACCTAATCAAATACATTTGTGGGTCACATTCTTCCCGTGGGCTTTCTGTTTGCTGTGACCATCAAGACATCTTTATTCTAGGTGAGGTTTAGGTAAATTACTCTTTGTGGACATTTCTCCAAAAAGGAAAAGATGATCCCATAAGAGTTTATGTCCCTGTTTGAAGACTTAGCCTTAGATTTTAATAGTATTTCTTTAGAAAACAAAGCTTTGATGGCACCCAATGGCATCAGAAGTGTCACAGTACAGAACTGAGCACTAATGCCAACTCCTGATGGGCTAGATCTGTGCACAGGAAAACGCATTCCTACCACCTGTGTGTCTCCGTTCTGGAAGGAAAATCGGTCTACAGAAGCCCTCGCAGGGAAAGTTCTTCATGTGGATATTTTTTCTGGGAACTGATAATTAAACACACCCTTACATGAGGTTAAAATTGATTAGTTCTATGTAGAAATAATATTTAGCCCAGGTTTAGGTAGATAAAGGGCTTTGATCAATTAACAAATTAGAAGGGTAGGCCTGCACTGTGGCTCACTTGGCTAATCCTCCACCTGCGGTGCTGGCACCCTGGGTTCTAGTCCCAGTTGGGGCGCCGGGTACTAGTCCCGGTTGCTCCTCTTCCAGTCCAGCTCTCTGCTGTGGCCCAGGAGTGCAGTGGAGGATGGCCCAAGCTTGGGTCCCTGCACCCACATGGGAGACCAGGAGGAAGCACCCTGCTCCTGGCTTCAGATCAGCGCAGCACCGGCCGTAGTGGCCATTAGGGGAATGAACCAACGGAAGGAAGACCTTTCTCTCTGTCTCTCACTGTCTATAACTCTCGCTCTGTCTTGCTCTCTCACTGTCTAACTGTGCCTGGCAAAAAAAATAAAATAAAAAAAATTAGAAGTGTTAGATCATCTTTGGATTATGTACTTACTTATACACTGTTTTGTTCTACTCTAAAACGTCTGCTGGAACCTCAAATGTAGGACAATCAAGTTGAGAGTTTCTGGTGGGGCTGTACCACAGGAAAGAATATTTGTCAAAGTTGAGTGTGCAGTCAATTACAGTAATGTCATCTGGGGAAGGCCATCTACTTCCATAATGAAAATCATCAGAGCATCGCCGAGGAATGTGTTAGTCAGATCTTGCTGACCATGAAGAGAGCACAGACTCACCAGGGCAGGGCAGCCACATTCAGTTATGCAGAGCTTCCCACAGTGTCACAGCCTCTCAGGCCGGCATTAGACACGAGAAACACAGAAAACACCCAACCCTTCCCTCCTCTGCAGTCACAGCCACGAGTGAACCCTAAGACCAGGAGAGGCCACAGCTATTCAGGGAGTGACTGTCAGCTACTGTGCAATCTGAGGATGCCCTGGCAGTTCTAAGGGAGAACGTGGCCCTGAAACACTCCCTTTGTTGCCACTTCCTAGCGCAACTCTGTTGAAATTCACAAAAGGAAACTTGCCCTGCAATTAGAAAAGATTTCACATTAAAATCACTTTTTTCAAACCCAATTCTCTGGTTTCTAGTTTTATGCCACTGAGATTTATTACCAATCTAAGCTTTAAAGAAATATGAGTAAGAAGTTAACTTTAAATCTAAAACAAGTGGTATCTATAAAAGGTCCTAGTTTTTCCCCTTTCTTTTCTGTCAAATTGGGAGAAAAAGCCAAGCTTGCTGGTTTCCTGTTTGTGTGCTCTGCACCTCCTGTTGCAGCAGCAGAAACCCAGTATGGGCAGGGGAGCAGCCAATCAGCAAAAGGCTGCACCCGCAGAACCAAGATGCTAAGGACAGAAGCTGTATTTCACAGGTTCAAGTCGGCTTTTCAGGGCTAACAGTAAACAGTACGGTGAGCCAATATAGGAACTTTAACAACATCGATGATAACAGCCTAACACTGCAATCTCTTGCTCTGGTATGCTGGTATTATTCTAAACATTTTATAAAAACAATTCATTGAATTCTCACAACTCCATGGAGCTGTTAACTACTGTTACCCTCCACGTTTCTGTGCATTGAGGCACAGAGAGGTTAAGTAGCCTGCCCAACATCACGTAAACCAGTGAGTGGGAGAACTGGCATTCAAGCTCAGGCAGGCTGACTCCAGGCTCAGCGTGTAGCCCTTCGTCTGCTCTTCTCCACCACTACTGTATACGAACTCGATGTTTGACTGCAGAAATCTGAATGTGGAAAGAAAAGGTCTCAAAATACATTCCTCACGTCCAACGTAAAAGGCCTTGCAGGCATGCCTCTCTTGCCATTTCCCCAGACAAGTGTGGTAATCATGTGTACTTTTATTCTTTCTTTTGATTAACAAATGGTTACTGAGGGCCTCATCCCATCAGTGAGACTATGAAAATAATATCAAGATACCAAACTATTCTCCTTGGTCCCAAGGAAAATGCAGACAATTAGAAGATACAGCAACACAGACAGGAGCAGCAAGTACAACTGCGCAGCTGTGCACTGTGTGACTCTAGCAGAGCTGCGTTGACTTGGCAGGCACCACAGATTTCTAATTTTATTTTATTAGGACAGTTTGCCAACAGTTGGAAGTACTATAAAGCATCTTCAAGACGGGTATCTTTTTCTAGTTTGCAAGGGTGCTTATGGGCTAGCAGCAGCCTGGTTAGTGCAGTCAGACCGTGCACCAAGGGAGGAAGTAACACTCAGGAAGGAAGTGGTTGGCCCTGCTGCAGGCGATTAGCAAAGGTTTCACAGAGGAAGTTCACCCTGAGTAGAGAAAAGTGAAAGAGTAAAAGGGCTTCTGTGAAATGGCAAACAAAGGCAGAACAGACAAAAATAAGAGCTACATAAGTATGCGAAGCAGAAGGGAAGCCACAAGAAATATGTCTGGAAATGAGGACAAGGGCGTGGTTAGAGCCAAGACCCTCTATCCTGAGCTGTTAAGACACCACTCTGTAGACGACAGGCTACAGAAAAACTCCCTTGGGTCAGAGAGGTGGGCAGCCTGGGAGCAGACAGACAATGCAGCAGGACTAGCTAGGAGGCTTCTAAGACCGACAGCAAAGCCAAATACAAGGTAATAAGAGGGGATCCAAAGGAAGGTCTCAAAATATTTAGAACAGGAACCTGCATTGTGGCATAGCATAGCAGGTTAAGCCATTGTCTGTGATGTCAGCATCCCATATGGGCTCCAGTTCAAGCCCGGGCTGCTCCACTTCTGATCCAGCTCTTTGCTAATGTGCCTGGGAAAGCAGAAGATGGCCCAAGTCCCTGGGTCCCTGCACCCACATGGGAGACTTGGATGAAGCTCCTAGTTCCTGGCTTCAGCCAGGCTTGTGGCCATCTGGGAAGTCAACCAGCAGATGGAAGATCTACCTTTCCCCTTCTCTATCTGTAACTCTGCCTTTCAAATGAATAAAATAAATCTTTAAACAAATATTAAGAACAGTTCTTGTTTACCAATTTGTGCATCAACTCATTCCAAAAAGAATAACAGAGCTAACAAAGATACAGAATTTAGAAGAGAATAAAATAAGTGAAAGAGGAAAATAGAAAATAATTTTAAGAAAAGAAATAAAGTTGGGGTACAATTAATATAAAGAATTACACACTATCATGTGCCCAACATTTCCTTAAGGTGACCACATATATGATCCTGCTCAGCAGAAAGGAGAGCCTGAGAAGCTCCAAGCTCCAAAGTGTCCTTGGGTGAAGCAAACCGGCAGGGAAGAACGCTAGCATCACAGTTCCTGTTAACACAGGACACCTCAGAAAGGGAGTCTCTGATGCGGTGGGTACTGGTAACAACAGCCTGAGAATTAAAAAGCAAAAAACACTAAGTTTCCAACTTCCAAATACTGTTGCTTCTTAAATAATACTCAATAATAATAGCCACAGAGTCTCAGAAAAAAAATGAATAGGATTTCACAAGTGGTCAACAGTGAAGACTCAGTGGGAAGCACTCTAATAAACACCTTAACTCAGTGGAGGGCTCAGGCAGTGATGATCAATCTGGTCTGCTTCCAGTGTCACAGCGGGTGTGGGCAGGGGTGTGAGTGTAGGCTCAGCTGCCACTCCTTTGTAATCAGCTGCAGTTTACCCAAGCCATAAACTGTCACTATGCTGAGAAGAAAGGGAAGAAACTGGGATGGGATGGAGAGGGGAGAGGGGAGAGAGAAGAGGGAAGGGGAGAGGGGGAAGAGAGAAGGGGGAAGGGGAAGGATGAGAAGCAGGAGGAGGAGAGGAGAGACGAAAAATCCAACTGAGCCACATGTGGGGAAATGAGGATTGGAAAGCAGGCAAGCTCTTCATCATTCAGGGATGTAGGGTATGGTAGGGAGTCTGGATTTTACTCCAAGTCTGGCTTTTGGGGGGAAGGATTTCTCTAGAATGAGCAAGAATGGAAGCAGGGAATCGTGTTAAAAGGCTCCCAAGGGGCAGGTGCCATAGCGCAGCTTAATCCTCCGCCTGTGGTGCCAGCATCCCATATGGGCACCGGTTCTAGTGCTGGCTGCTCCTCTTCAGATCCAGCTTTCTGCTGTGCCTGGGAAAGAGGTAGAAGATGGCCCAGGTTCTTGGGCCCCTGCACCTGCGTGGGAGACCAGGAGGAAGCACCTGGCTCCTGGCTTCAACTGGTGCAGCTCCGGCCATGGCGGCCATTTGGGGAGTGAACCAACAGAAGGAAGACCTTTCTTTGTCTCTCCCTTTCACTGTATGTAACTCTATCTCTCAAAATAAATAAATAAAATCTTAAAGAAAACAAAGGCTCCCACAATAGTTCTAGAGCAGAACTCATGGTATGCTGGTAACAAAGGAGATTCAAATAAGTAAAGAGACTTGAGATATGAAGCAGAAATAACAAGCCTTGTCGATGAACTGGGTCCTAGGAGAGGTCTGTTGAGCCCGGCACGCACCACAGTGACTTCACAGAATTCCTCAGTCCTTAAACCCCTTAACAATTTGAGTATAACTCCAAAGACAGAATTTGGCAATGCTATGAGTCCTGGTAGGAAGCTTTAAATAGCAGACTGTGATATCTGATTAACCGGATTAGTCATGATGTCTCATCTGTCTGCACAAAACACATTGCAAGGCTCTTCTTTCATTGATTTTATGCTACAGCATGAAGTTACTCAGTACTGACACCAAAAACCTCATCTAATTGACTCATAACCTTTTTTGCCAGAGATCACGCAGCAAATCCTATTAAACATTTACCTCAGCATTCCTATTGTAAGCTACATTTTTAGAAAAAAAGTTACTTATAAAAACCCAAACAATGTGGACCCAGTGATTAGAAAGGGAATCTGGAGGGCCTGTGGCTGGCTCTGTCCTCTCTGAAACCCTCTCTCCATTTGCACCGACTCGGCTCTCTGCTGTTCCCTTTTCCCTCTCCGGACAGTCCTGACTTGCTCATTGCAATCTCCCCTCCTCTATCTGTTCTTGAATTCCCTGTGTTGTGGACAGAACTGTTTCTTCCGATCATGTGATGAAGTCCTAACCTCGGTTCCTCAGAATGTAACAGTTATTTGGAGATAAGGTCATTAAAGAATTAAGTTAAAATAAGGTTTTTAGGGTGGATCCTAGTCCGATATGACTAACATCCTTGTAAGAGGAAATCTGGACTCAAATATGTGCACAGAGGAAAAACCATGTGAACACGAATGGAAAAGGTGGCATCTACAAGCCAAGGACCAAGGCCTCAGAAGACAATGAACCCGAGGACACCGTCAGTATGGACTTCCAGCCTCCAGAATTGTAAAGGAATAAATTCTGTTGTGCTAAACCACTCAGGCCTAGCAAACTGATACCCTATATACCTCTTTCTACTCCCTACTCCCAGTCCTCACCCCAAGAACATCTTACTCAGTTGCCTGCATTTGGATCTTCTACGATGATTCCCTAATCTCTATTTCCAGGCCAGGCTTCCCTTACTTTAGATTTCCATTAAATAGCACAACAAATCCTAATGTGAGCATCTTTCCCCATCCTATATCAGCTCTCGCTTTGCTACATTCCCTACTGTGGTAAATGGAAGCAACCTAGATACCCAAGTCAAAAATTACTTGGGAATCATCCTAAAAAAAAAAATTAGCTACCATATGCTTACTACATAGCGAAGAGCTTTGCAGGCATCTTTTCATCAAATATATATTTTTTTTGACAGGCAAAGTTAAACAGTGAGAGAGACAGAGAGAAAGGTCTTCCTTCTGTTGGTTCACCCCACAATGGCCGCTGCGCTGCACTGATCCGAAGCCAGGAGCCAGGTGCTTCCTCCTGGTCTCCCATGCGGGTACAGGGCCCAAGCACTTGGGCCATCCTCCACTGCACTCCTGGGCCACAGCAGAGAGCTGGAATGGAAGAGGAGCAACCGGGACAGAATCCAGCACCCCAACCGGGACTAGAACCTGGGGCACCGGCACCGCAGGCGGAGGATTAGCCTAGTGAGCCGCGGCACCGGCCCTTTTCATCAAATATTATTAACAGTCTCAAAGAGCAGGAATCACTATTCCTATTTTATAGCTGAAGAGACTGAAATTTGGGTTAAATTACCCAGAACCACTCCGTTAAGAAGTGGCACTAAGGATTGCTCTCAGACTTCCAATCTAATTAAACCTCCTCAAGCTCATCCAATGTTTCCTATTAATGTTTCCTATTGTTTCCAAAAACTATCTTTTGACTTCTTCCTCCTCCTCTTTATCTGTCAAATGCCTTATTCTGGCTCCTCTCTTTCAGTTGGGTGATTATCAAGACCACTCTAATTTTGCTCTGCCTTTGGCCTCATTCCTCTCCAATCTAAAATTCAGAATTCTGATTCCATCACCGTTCTTCAATGGCTCTCTAGCATATTCAGCATAAAACCTAAGCTTCTACGAACTACTGGGTCTACATTACTCAATTTCCTCACCACATCCCTAACTCCCACCCAGACCCCCCATTTACAACAAGCAGATCTAAATGCTGTTTTCAGAACAGGGCAAGTGCCCTCAGGCCTCTAGGTCAGAGCATTTGCTGTCCAGCCAGATGGCCCTCCCCCTGCAGACCTGCCTGGCATCTCTATTCATCAAATGCTAATTTACTGCTGGAAAATTTCCTTGGCTTACTAAGGCAAGCTTGATTTTTCTTTTATCTATACTTCTACAATGGTTAACTTTATTATGTTAATAGTTGCTAAATTACTCAGTTCCTAACAGACATTAAGCTTCTTAAAGGCTAGGATTGGGTTTTGCATTTTCGAATGCCTAATATCTAGCATAAAGAATAAGTGTTCAGTAAATGCTCATGGCACTCACTTAACAGGATGCCACTAGATCAGTCACACACAAAGTAGAAGAGTGAGCTTCCAGCAAGAAACAGACCTTTCCAGAAAGAAATAGCAAGTTCCTAGACCACTACCCGAGTTCATACACGCTACATCAGTAACTTCAAGTGCAGTCTCTGGACTTGTGGAGGTCCCTGAGACCTTCTCAGGGAGTACACAAGTTAAAATTCTTTTCAGAAAAAAACACACTAAGATGCTGTTTGTCTTTTCATTGCATTGACATTTGCACTGATGGTATAAAAGCAATTGTGCCTTGGCATGAAGAGAGGCAGCGCCACCAAGACGCACTACTTGTAAAGGTGCTCTTCACTGCCATGCAGAATAAAAATGCAACATTTGTAAATGCCAATTCAATTCAAGCTTGCCTTTGATGAAGCAGCAAATATTAATTTCATTAAATCTCAAATGTTTTCAATAGTCTATATGATGAAGTGGGAAGTATGGGTTAAAGTTACCTCTGTTGTAGATGAAGTACAATGAGTGATGAGGAAAATAGCTTGTAGGACTCTGAGTCACAAGCTTTCCGTGGAATACCATTTTTTGCTCGAAGTAATGACTGGCAGGCACTATGGTTATTCACATTTAGGTTTTCAGCAGATGTCATCTAAAACATGAAAGACATAGGTCTCCTACTTCAAGGAAAACAGTTAATAGTATTCTTGGTAGAAGGTGAGTTTTCAAATGAAATGGGAAACATCTACCACCCAACAAATAAAACTTTCCTAGTGAGATTAATGGTGACAGTAATACATTTTTGAAATCGTAAAACAAATGTTTTTACATTTTTTAAACAAGGCATGTTTAAACCAGCAAAATATTATAAAATCATGCAAGATAGATCAATGGGAATGGAATGCAAAGGTTCACTCATCAGTTTTCAGATGCCATACCACAATTAACCTGTGAGAAGTTACTATGTTTCAAGTTTTGGTGCAATATTAAATAAGAACAACCACCATCACCTGAGAAGTCTTTATGAACATTTTCATCCTGTTATCAACTACATTATTTTCCTCACAGTATATCAACTAAAATGCTGTATTTTACTGGACTGAATGCAGATGTAGGTATGAGTATCCACTCGTCTTCCATCAAGTCAGACATTAAAGAATTTTTGTAAAAATGTAAAACAGGCCAGCACCGCGGCTCAATAGGCTAATCCTCTGCCTGTGGCGCCGGCACACGGGGTTCTAATCCCGGTCGGGGCACCGGATTCTGTCCCGGTTACCCCTCTTCCAGTCCAGCTCTCTGATGTGGCCCCGGAGTGCGGTGGAGGATGGCCCAAGTGCTTGGGCCCTGCACCCGCATGGGAGACCAGGAGAAGCACCTGGCTCCTGGCCTCAGATTAGCGCGGTGCGCCGGCCGCAGCGCACCAGCTGTGGCGGCCATTGGAGGGTGAACCAACAGTAAAAGGAAGACCTTTCTCTTTGTCTCTCTCACTGTCCACTCTGTCAAAAAAAAAAAAAAAAAAAAAAAAAAAAGTAAAACAATGCTATTCTCACTAAATCTTAAATTTTTCATAAAAATATATTATGTTAATACTACATGGCTTTATTTGCTTAAATTATATTTATAGAGGACCAGGGCTGCGGTGCAGCGGGTTAAAGCCCAGTCTGAAGTGCCAGTATCTCATATGGGCACTGGTTCAAGTCCTGGCTGCTCCACTTCCAATCCAGCTCTGCTATGACCTGAGAAAGCAGCAGAAAATGGCTCAAGTGCTTGGCCCCCTGCACCACGAAGAAGCTTCCAGCTCCTGGCTTCGGATTGGCCCAGCTCTGGCCATTGTAGCCATTTGGGGAGTGAATCACTAGATGGAAGACCTCTTTCTCTCTCTCTCTCCTTCTCTCTGCCTTTCAAATAAATAAATCTTTAAAAAATTTTAAATAAATTCATAAATACTTTAAATTTTCCAGGTTACATTTCAAATACAGTAATATCAATAGGTAAAATTACATAAACAATAAATGCAAAGGGGTCCTGAGGCCAAAAAGTTTGAGGGTTGCTCATTTCCTTTAAGGAACCAAAGACCCAAACTTTCAACAGTCAGGCATATCACAACTACTCTGTTATCATTGTCATAAATCAACGATCATTTGAATACAGATCTGTTCCTACAGCCTATTCCATGCCACTGACCTATTAATCTAATATTATAATAGTACCACGCTGCCCCAATTACTTAGATGCACAGTAATTCTTAAGACCTGTGATTGGCCGGTGCCGCGGCTCAATAGGCTAATCCTCCACCTGCGGCACCGGCACACCGGGTTCTAGTCCAGGTCAGGGTGCTGGATTCTGTCCCGGTTGCCCCTCTTCCAGGCCAGTTCTCTGCTGTGGCCCGGGAGTGCAGTGGAGGATGGCCCAAGTCCTTGGGCCCTGCACCCGCATGGGAGACCAGGATAAGCACCTGGCTCCTGGCTTCGGATCAGTGTGGTGCACCTGCTGCAGCAGCCATTGGAGGGTGAAAGAACAGCAAAGGAAGACCTTTCTCTCTGTCTCTCTCTCACTGCCCACTCTGCCTGTCAAAAAAAAAAAAAAAAAAAAGACTTGCAATAACCCTTTGCATTTCAATACAGATTTTCTATGCCAAAAATTAAAAAAAAATTAACTTCCTGGATTTTAATCAGGATTATACTGAACCTAAAGATCAATTTGAGAATCTATAGATATACAGACTAGTTGGTGTGTGTGTGTGTGTGTGTGTGTGCACGCGCGCTCAAACACAATTATACTAGGAACACAGTATATAATTTATAAATGATCTTAATATATCAGGTTAAACATTTTAATTGTCCTGTTCTTGAGTCCTTAAATTATTGTTAGATTTATGCCTGACTGATCTATATGCTGTAAAATATTGTTTTTATTTCACCTTTGTTAACGGCTAGTATGTAAAAAGAGTTGATTTTCACATGTTGACCTTCTACTCAACTATACTGCTAAATTCACTAATTTTAAGAGTTCATCCATAGACTTCTTTGAATTTTCTTAATACACAATGAATGCTGTCTTTGAATGAGTTTATTTCTTCACTTGCAATTATTATATATTTTTGCTTCTTTTCCTTACCTAATATATTTTCAAGGAGCTCTAATGCAATGTTGATATGAAGTGATAACAAGAGATATACTTGTCTCAATTGCAACCTCAAGTGGAAAGCTTCTATTCGTTCACCATTAAGTATGGCACTTAGTCTGTTTTCTATGGACTGAGAAATGTTTACAATTCATGTAACAAAGACTTATATTCAGAATAAAGAAATCCTACAAGTCAATAAGAAAAAGACAAGAACATTAAAAAAACAGATACAATACTGATTTGAACAGCAATTCCCAAAGAGGACACTTAATTGACCAGTTAACATGAAAAGGTACCTACGCCCATTAGTTATCAGGCAAGTACAAAATAAGACATAATAGGAGACCACAATACATATACCAGAACTGTATACCAAATGTATACATTTCACATTTTAATGGAAAATACTGACAATTCCATGTGTTAGTACAAATGCCAAGGAACTTGAACTCCATTATACTGAAAAGAGAGTGTAAGTTATCAGAGTACTGTTTTAAACAGAACAGCTTTTGGCAGTATCTATTAGTGTGCATACGCATTCTCAATGGCCTAGCAATCCTGTTCTTACATACACGTCTAACAGTAAAGCGCACATCAAAAAGTACATACAAGGATGTCCATAGCTACATTATTTATGAGAGCTTCAAAATAAAGATGTCCATTAATAAAAGAATGGTCAACAAAAAACTTTTGTAAATCCACACAAAATATAATATAGCAGTGAAAATGAACAAGTGAGAAAAACACCTTAAGAAACACCCTGCTAGACAAGAAGTCTGAACCTCAAATATTATGCAATAAAACCTTAAAAGAAAACATTTGTACTATGAACAGTTCTCTGTACATCAACTTTTCTAAAGTATTTTTTTAAATGGAGAGAAAAAGACCACCAACATAAAAGCTACTATCCTAACAATCTCTAAGTGTTCTGGTAGTGTTAAGTATACTCCCATTGTTTGTGTAACAGATCTTTTTCAACTTGCAAAAACTAAAACTCTACATACATTAAGCAATAACTATCTACTTCCCCTCCCCCAGTTCTTGGAAAAAAGCTATTTTACTTACTGTTCTTGTGAATCTGACTACTTTAGACACGTAATATAAATGGAAGCATTCAGTACTGTCTTTTTGTGCTGGCATATATCACTAGAATGGTGTCCTCAAGGTTTATCTATGCTGCGGCACATGACAAAATTCCCTTCCTTTTGAAGGCTGAACAATATTCTCTTTATAAAGGCTTTAATCTGGTAAAATCTATGGCATTAACAGTAAGGACAATAGTTACCTTTGAGTAGTATAAAGACAGTGTCTGGATGTAACACAAATAAAATTCATGGAATATTAATGTTTTATTTCCTGAACTGTGTGTCGATCACTTCGTGGTAACTCATCTAACAGTAAAATCATTTTTGTATACTATTTTACATAATACAACTTTTAAGACATATATATTTTACATGTATTTTAAATAATACAAATAATTTTTAAAGCATATATTTGCAATGGATCTATATCAACATAAAACTGGACTGTATGTATTATGCCACATTAAAGGGTTTTTTAGAGCCATAGGAACACATGTGCACACACATGCATACATGCACACACACACATAGCTTCCATCTGTTGGCTCAATCCCCAAATGCCCACAAAGGCTGGCAATGGACCAGGCCAAAGCTAGGAGCCAGGAACTCCATCCTGATCTCCAACGTGGCAGAAGCCAAAGCACTCAGGCAATCTTCCACTGCTTTCCCAGGGGTATTAGTGGGGAGCTGGATCAGAAGCAAAGCAGCCAGGATTTGAACCAGCACTCTGATACACCATATAGGTGTCACAGGCAGCAACTTACCCTGCTGTAGCAACCCATCCACGTTTAAGTTTTAAAGTGCTTGCGTGATGCTTTAACTCTCCCACTCAAGGCCTCATTTTTGACCTTGACTCTTTTTCTTTTAATATGTATTTATTTGAAAGGCAGAGTTACAGAGAGGGACAGATAGAGAGGGATTGCCCATCTGCTGGTTCACACCATAAATGCCCAGAGTAGCCAGGCTGGGTCAGGACAAAGCCAAGAGCTAGGGGCTTCCTCAAGGTCTCCCATTTGATTGTAGGGGCCCTAGCACTTGGACCATCCTCTGCTGCTTTCCCAGGCTCATTATCAGGGATTTAGAATGGAAGTGGAACAGCCAGGACTCAAACTGGCACCTATACAGAATGCTGGCATTGCAGGTGGCAGTTTAATCCTCTATGCTACAATGCTGGCTCCTTAACCTTGAATCCGAATATAGCAATCTTAAACTTGGTATTTCACCAAGAAACTATCAAAAAAGCATGAGGTTTAGATGAAAATATCATTATCAATGCTTATCTCTTTAGTTTTAAGTCTTAAACTTAGATTTTATTTAGCATCCCAGGAAAAAAAGAAAACTAGCTGATTAAAAATTATACTAGTGCTATAAATAATTTAGTTCCTGGGAGTTATCAAGTCTCCAAGGAAATGCTTAGTAATTCAAGGCAGAGAAGAAATCA